AGTCTGGACCAGACAAGCCAGTGATTGACATCATGAACATCGATCCACGGAATTGGGATCGATGACATGCATCAACCAAGTCAGCGAGCCTGACCACCCGATCCCATTAGTCGCCTTTTACGACAAGCATCGTCACCTTTCACGGCCAGTATGGGTTGCTGAATACCTATTCTACCCCGGAATCTTCACGGGTCCCGACTGTATCATGAGCATGTGTTTATGAATCCTATCAATAGTGATGATACCAGGTGTTCGCGAAAAGGTGAGCATATCCTGCCCTACCGGTGGCACTCGCCCCAAACACATGCAAAGGCATGTCAATTGTTTACCTGAAAAAGCACGGGAAGATAATTTTATGATACAAGTGATAATAGGAAATTGCACATCATTTCTATCGTTGGTGCGTCAAATTTATAGACACCTGGAGTAGTATGTCCAGAGGATGTGGCTTATGGGTCAGTCTGCTGGTTAATTGAAAAATCACTCTGCGTATGCTGCTGCGGGCTGTCAAAGTTGCAGTTTGACACTGATTTCGCAGGCGAACCAGACGGATATGGTTATCTTATCGACGTGGCGTTACCAGTGGACGTCCTGAACGTGGTGGGTCCCACTCTGATGGCACCGACGTCATAACGACTGTATGGTGTTACGGTGAACACTTCACTGCTTATAGCAACACCGCTTTGTGTATGCTGGTTTCAAGAATTGTAATTGCTCCAATTCTCATTTCCAGATTGGCAAGGTGTGTATCCCACGCACGAGCGCCACGTGTTGGCAGTTTGATTCAACGCGCCACTGGCCTAGTTACAACGTAGATGGGAAAACACGTGCTTGCAAAATAAAAGATAAAAAAAAATATTTTTTTTATCAAGTACTATAGTGTGTTCTTCTATCAGTCGGGTGAAATAGTGACAGGATATTTTGTAAATTAAAAGGTAGAACCGACTGTCAATTATTGCATCGTTTGTGAGTTCGGCTTTGTGTTTGCTTTTTGGCTTTTTTAGGATGTCTGGGTTTGATCACAATGATCAAACTGTTCTACACTTACAATGTGTTGTCTAGAATGTGTCAAGGACATCTTTGTGACATCTGTTTTGAATATATCGTAGGGACTGCTTGTGTTTTATCAGTGTTCAGTCGTTAAAAGCGTTTAAGAAAAAAATAACTGCATTATGTTTACATTTTAGATTCCCCTAGCTACGCCAAGGATCGTATCAACATTTTTTTATATCAGCATTGGCTTCCAGATTGATAGCGTTAAAATTATACAAACAATTTAAAGTTTTTATTTGTTTGAGAGAAGGTATTAAAACGCCTTTGGAAACAGATTTATCTGTAATAAAACGTCTCGTCACTTTATGTCTCCCGTATAGACAAGATGACCCTTCAGAAGCATCTGACAGTGTTGTCATGACAACTGAACTTGTAGGCTAAACATGGACTAGTTTCAAGCCAAAGAAATACACGGGAGGTAATAGCCTTGAGAAATATGTAGACAGTCTAAAAACAGCTGACAATACAATCGGCCAGCCGAATAAAATATGAAATCTGGATCGCTTTAATGTTGCCGTCTCGGCTGCTTCAAATATATAAATGGCATATTGAATTTGTTTTGATGTACGCGAAATGCCGTAATAGGATTCGAAAAGACGATTGTCTCATAAATCACCCCATTATTGATGCCTGTTTGTCACGTACATAAAAAGATGCCTCATGCATACAGTCTTGCCGTGTAATCGGGTATGATTATGATGAATATATATTAATGTAAGCATTTACAGGGCATGAGTTTAGCTATTTTGAATATATTTGTAATCATAGTCGCGTGAATTGAATAATCCTGTTTGAATCTTTAATATATATACATATCAGCTTCGAAATACAGGCTCATTAAAAAAATGGGGCTGTTAAACGCATGTCAGAATTGCGTGTCAGTACCAGGCTCACGCTCAAGTCATTTCATTCAAGTGTGTTCAGCTATAACATACGACTGGCGTCCAACGTTGCACATTTCAACCTATACATGATAGACGTCTTACTCCGGGAGGCCGCCTTGCAATTTGTTCAGTCATGGTATGTATTTTTTTCTGAATCTTGATTAACAATCGTTACAACTCCGACAAACGATACACGGGATTAAACTAAATTATGTTTCATATCAAATTACTTCTAACTAAAGTCCAACAGCGAAGACGACTAAAAAAAGTTCTTTTTTTTATGGTTAAATAAATGTTATTCTTCTCGAATCAGTCGGCGGGGCGTATCGAAGACGACTAACAAAGGCGGTACTCAATGATGGCGTTGACAGGTACAGAACTCGTCCATAGTTTTTTTCAAGATTTCTTTAAACACTGAGGGGTATCTGATTGAAATTTGACCATTATTACACAGACAAGACATCTCTACAGCCGCCACAGTTTGATCGTGGCGGCTTATTATTCGTAATTGAATATCTTGACGCTTGTTCTAAGACCAGAGGGTATACTTATATATTTCAGCAGCGGTCAATCAAACTGTAACTAACACGAATGTAACACAAACCTTGCCCTCTAGCTAGTGCTTCGAGGTTAAGTTGATTGATAATGACGTTACAATGACATGTTTAAAAGACATATTCGACATGGAATATTCACGTTTCATAACGCACGTGGAAATTAAAAGATACGTCTAATTTTTTTTGTATTTAATCATTTACTTACATTGTCCTACATTAGGATTCTTAAGTAAACACAAGTCTAAACTCCTCTTTTTCTTTGTTGATTTTGGTAAAGCATGATCTCATAGATTATTTAAATTTTCTTCGAATGGAGATTTGCAAGTTCATATCGTACGTAGACCGCCTCACTTCTACAGGGTCCGATCATACGTAGACCGCCTCACTATTACATGGTCCGGTCATACGTATACCGCCTCACTACTACATGGTCCGATCATACGTAGACCGCCTCACTTCTACAGGGTCCGATCATACGTAGACCGCCTCACTTCTACAGGGTCTGATCATACGTAGATCGCCTCACTATTACATGGTCCGATCATATGTGGACCGCCTCACTTCTACAGGGTCCGATCATACGTGGACCGCCTCATTTCTACAGGGTCCGATCATACGTAGACCGCCTCACTTCTACAGGGTCCGATCATACGTAGACCGCCTCACTTCTACAGGGTCTGATCATACGTAGATCGCCTCACTATTACATGGTCCGATCATACGTGGACCGCCTCACTTCTACAGGGTCCGATCATACGTGGACCGCCTCACTTCTACAGGGTCCGATCATACGTAGACCGCCTCACTTCTACAGGGTCTGATCATACGTAGACCGCCTCACTATTACATGGTCCGATCATACGTGGACCGCCTCACTTCTACAGGGTCCGATCATACGTAGATCGCCTCACTATTACATGGTCCGATCATACGTGGACCGCCTCACTTCTACATGGTCCGATCAAACGTAGACCGCCTCACTATTACAGGGTCCGATCATACGTAGACCGCCTCACTTATATAGGGTCCGATCATACGTAGACCGCCTCACTTCTACAGGGTCCGATCATACGTAGACCGCCTCACTTCTACATGGTCCGATCATAGGTAGACCGCCTCACTTCTACAGGGTCCAATCATACGTAGACCGCCTCACTACTACATGGTCCGATCATAGGTAGACCGCCTCACTTCTACAGGGTCCGATCATACGTGAAACCGCCTCACTTCTACATGGTCCGATCATACGTAGATCGCCTCACTATTACAGGGTCTGATCATACGTAGATCGCCTCACTTCTACAGGGTCAGATCATACGTAGACCGCCCCACTATTACATGATCCGATCATACGTAGACCGCCTCACTTCTACATGGTCCGATCATAGGTAGACCGCTTCACTTCTACAGGGTCCGATCATACGTAGACCGCCTCACTATTACAGGGTCTGATCATACGTAGATCGCCTCACTTCTACAGGGTCCGATCATACGTAGACCGCCTCACTATTACATGATCCGATCATAGGTAGACCGCCTCACTTCTACATGGTCCGATCATACGTAGACCGCTTCACTTCTACAGGGTCCAATCATACGTAGACCGCTTCACTTCTATAGGGTCCGATCATACGTAGACCGCCTCACTATTACAGGGTCCGATCATACGTAGACCGCCTCACTACTACAGAGTCCGATCATACGTAGACCGCCTCACTACTACATGGTCCGATCATACGTGAAACCGCCTCACTACTACAAGGTCCGATCATAGGTAGACCGCCTCACTTCTACATGGTCCGATCATAGGTAGACCGCCTCACTTCTACATGGTCCGATCATACGTAGACCGCCTCACTACTACATGGTCCGATCATACGTGGACCGCCTCACTACTACAGAGTCCGATCATACGTAGACCGCCTCACTACTACATGGTCCGATCATAGGTAGACCGCCTCACTTCTACATGGTCCGATCATACGTGAAACCGCCTCACTACTACAAGGTCCGATCATAGGTAGACCGCCTCACTTCTACATGGTCCGATCATAGGTAGACCGCCTCACTTCTACATGGTCCGATCATACGTAGACCGCCTCACTACTACATGGTCCGATCATAGGTAGACCGCCTCACTTCTACATGGTCCGATCATACGTGAAACCTCCTCACTACTACAAGGTCCGATCATACGTAAACCGCCTCAATACTTGGATGCACGATCATACGTAAACCGCCTCACTACTACAAGGTCCGATCATACGTAAACCGCCTCAATACTTGGATGCACGATCATACGTAGACCGCCTCACTTCTATAGGGTCCGATCATACGTAGACCGCCTCACTATTACATGGTCCGATCATACGTAAACCGCCTCAATACTTGGATGCACGATCATACGTAGACCGCCCACTGCGACATTGTAGATCAGTCTACGGTTGAGGTAGACTATTTGCACCGGCATCGAAGCTCACACAGTAAAATAATGAAATCAAGGTGATTTAGGAATGTCACAAAGAAATTTATTCTCTAAAGCATCCTTAATGATTTCAGGTACAGCACGTATTTAAACACTTACCAGCTGATCCATGACAACCAGGCATTGCTATAACACAGCTTGCTGGTGTATACGCGCGGTTAAAACATAGCATGCCGGTGTATATGCACTGTTATAACATGCCAATGGATATACATTTTATTCCCAATGCTATACTTTATAAACACACGCCACGTAGATACGTGTTGAAGCAGCAAGTTTTACAGCACTTTATACGAGTATATCAAGAACAAGTGAGGATCGTTCTTGATCTGTACCGGAACGTTCTCATACAGAATTAATATAGTTTGACAGTATGGGACATGTAACAAATGACTACAATAATGAAAACACAACTCAACAACACAGGCTAGAGCACGCAGAATGCCATCACTGCTCTTTTGTGTGCGGTGAGTATGTACAGATTAACCTCTAACCCTATTGTGAATTGAACGGTCTTGTTGACGAACGGGCGTGATGCCAGTGTGAAAGTTGCGACAGATCACGTGGTCCTATTCCCGTCTTGTGAAAGCAATTCTAAGTTCGTATCTTGCTGCCTGTTTAACCACCGGAGTGGTCTCCCAATGCCGTGTTACAGCACAGTCTCAAGCAGCGTCCTGGTGTACGTCATGGACCTCCACGTCACACCATGATACGTCAAGATACGTCAGTCTCAAGCAGGTCCTGGTGAACGTCATCAACCTCCACGTCACACCATGATACGTCAAGATACGTCAGTCTCAAGCAGGTCCTGGTGAACGTCATCAACCTCCACGTCACACCATGATACGTCAAGATACGTCAGTCTCAAGCAGATCCTGGTGAACGTCTTCAACCTCCACGTCACACCATGATACGTCAAGATACGTCAGTCACAAGCAGATCCTGGTGTACGTCATACACAACCTCCACGTCACACCATGATACGTCAAGATACCTTAGTCTCAAGCAGCGACCTGATGTACGTCATAAACCTCCACGTCACACCATGATACGCCAAGATACGTCAGTCTCAAGCAGCGTCCTGGTGAACATCATCAACCTCCACGTCACACCATGATACGTCAAGATACGTCAGTCTCAAGCAGCGTCCTGGCTGGTGTACGTCATACACAACCTCCACGTCACACCACGATACGTCAAGATAACGTCAGTCTCAAGCAGTGTCCAGGTGTACGTCATCAACCTCCACGTCACACCATGATACGTCAAGATACGTCAGTCTCAAGCAGATCCTGGTGAACGTCTTCAACCTCCACGTCACACCATGATACGTCAAGATACGTCAGTCACAAGCAGATCCTGGTGTACGTCATACACAACCTCCACGTCACACCATGATACGTCAAGATACCTTAGTCTCAAGCAGCGACCTGATGTACGCCATAAACCTCCACGTCACACCATGATACGCCAAGATACGTCAGTCTCAAGCAGCGTCCTGGTGAACATCATCAACCTCCACGTCACACCATGATACGTCAAGATACGTCAGTCTCAAGCAGCGTCCTGGCTGGTGTACGTCATACACAACCTCCACGTCACACCACGATACGTCAAGATAACGTCAGTCTCAAGCAGTGTCCAGGTGTACGTCATCAACCTCCACGTCACACCACGATACGTCAAGATGCTCCATAGATGAGCAAACCTACTTGGAAAAAATCTTTCAATCAAACAGAAAACAAGTCGTGCTGTAATATGAGGGCTGAGTCCCTCCCTGGTCTACACGACCATGAAAACGCCTGGTGAAGACACGACGAACACAACAAAGTTATTTGAAAAGTTTGGGCCTCGGAACGGAGGCTGACTTCAAATTATGTTCTGCTTAACATTAAAATAATAAAAGCCTTTTCTGAAGCATATTTCAGGCTAGCATCTATATACAAAAGCTACATCAGGTCAAAGTTCAATGGACGCGTGTGTGCGGGGGTCGGGGAGACTTGTGCCATCCAACTGTATCACCGTGAAGACGTTTGATTCCACGTTGATGGTGCCTGTGACGTTGAGCAACAGTTTGATTGGTTCACATCCAGCCTCGTTCTCGCAGTGATCACATGACACTGCCACGCCATTGTGTTGGTCTAAGAGACTACACAGAATCTCTTGTTTCTCGCTGAATAACCTGTTGTAGTCTTTCTCCAACTCTTCTTTTAACTGTTCTTGTTTTTGCAACTCCTGAAAAAAGACAAGTTAATATGTATAATTATTGTTAAGGGACTGAAAGAATAAAGACATGTTGAAGGAGGCATTCCTGTGCGATATATTGACATATAAATGAATGTTTTAGCATTCCTGAGGGTGGTGGTGGTCGGGTGGGGTGGGGGGAGTGGGTGGGAGAAGCCTAGTGGTTAAAGTGTTCGCTCCTCAAGCCGAAGAATCCCCACATGGGTACAATGTGTGAAGCCAATTTTTGGTATCTTCCGCCGTAATATTGCGAGAATAGTGCTAAAAGCGGCGTAAAAAAATAACCACTCAATGACCCTGAGGGTGGTGGGCTAACCCGGGTTAATGTGTTCTCTCGTCACGTCGAAGGCCTGGGTTCGATTCCCCACAGGGTACAAATGCAACGTGTGAAGGGTGTCCTGGTGTTCTGGTTCGTATTGCTGGAATATTTCTCCAAGCGGCGTAAAACAATGCTCACTCACTGACATAGGATATAAGTGAGGATAAAAAAATATCGTAGTTGTGACGTTTGTATTCCTGTGTGTGTATTGGAGTGTGTGTAATATTTGTCTATATTGTGTGTATGCTGCGTGTGTTGCTTGTGTGTTTTGGTGTGTAAACTGTGGTTTGTTTTTATGTGTGTCTGTGTCTGAGGCCTGTGAGTGCCGCTTATGTCAAACCACAGGAACTCGTCATTGGTCAGTAAATAAAAACATATACGCCACTATACTCTACTTATTTATAGGGGTATATATTTTGAATTACTGACCAATAACGAGTTCCTGTGTGTCAAACTGCATAACATGGACACTCTACGAATCGGTGCTCATATCATCAACCACTGGTTTGTCGGATCCGGGACCAATAACGCCTGACACCACCATGCTGTGACTGATCAGTTGGAATATACCCTGTCCACAAGTGTGTCAGAAATAAAGGATCACGACATTTTGACCAACCTCAAGAATGTCGGACATCTTGGACTTGGACTTGAGGCGGTGTTTGCGCGCGGCGATCTTGTTCTGCAACTTCCGTTTCTCGCGCTTCTCCATCTCCGCCGGGGTCAGCTGAAACATCAGACCAAAGTTCATTACACCGAGTGCAGAGTCGGCCACTAGTCCCACACATGTGAACGAATGAGACCCGTGAAGATCCGGAGTAGAATAGGTCTTCAGCAACCCCTGCTTACCGTAAAAGGCGAGTATGCTTGAGGTAAGAGGCGACTAACGGGATCGGGTAGTCATTCTTTGTGCCTAGGTTGATGCATGTCATCGTTTCCCAATTACGTGGATCGATGATGTCAATCAAAGGATTGTCTGACTCAATTATTTTCAGACCGCCGTCATACAGCTTGACTATTGCCGAGTGCGGCGTTAAACAACATACAAAGGGACGAGTATTATTTTCTCGAAACAGTTAAATCATATAAACCGATAATGAGTAAGTCAGTTACAGCTATTTGCTGCAGAAAGTAAACAGTTCGGTTGCCCTAAATTGTACAATTAGTCAGACAGAGTGTCATAATCACCCTACTCCGGGTTCAACAAAGTTCTACCTGTCTAGATTCTTTTTTGTTTTTCGACATCAACTTGATCCATCGTGACACAACCGAAATACTGTTCTAACTATATAAGATTAAAAACATCCATGACATTAGTATAGAAGTAACATAACAAGTAATCTCCCGGTGCTTACGTCATATGATCGGGGTTGAGGGAAGTGGACTTGGATGTCTTCCTTCCCCTCAGAAAACCTCTTCGTTAAGATTGACAGTCGCAACTCTTCCTTAAGGAGCGGTGTTATTTGATTAGTTTCCATGGCAACAGACATCGCACGCTCCAATCTGGGGTCGCAGATGTCTGTGAATGTTATCTTCGGTGCTTGAAAGTCGCCATACTCGTCCTGCCTTATACCAACAACCTCCATCTGAAATAACAGGTAGACACATCACAGATTACGGAATATTACGGAATGAAACTCAGATAGGAAGCTCTTTAACGATCCAGGTGATGCTACTAGTGTAAGTTTCAGCTTCAGTACCCGTGAAGATCCGGGTTAGAATTGGTCTTCATCTACCCATGCTTGCTATAAAAGGGGACTATATGCCTGTCGTAAGAGACCAATTGCGTGGATCGATGCTCATGGTGTAAATCACTGAATTGTCAGGTTCAGACGCGATTATTTACAGACCGTCGTCGTACAACTGGAATATCGCTGAGTGCAATACACAAACAACAAACAAACAAAAACATTCAGATTCAGCACAGTGTTTACAGAGGGGGGATGGCGGAGAGACACCAGGTGAGCTAAACTTGAGTTGCAGTTCCGACAACTCAATTTGGCTGTGTTTTAACTTGCGAGGAAATCTCGATTACACTGAGCGGTGGTTGATTGTTGCTGTAAAGTTTGAACACGCCCAACGACCACAGCCGAGTGTACAAATTTATAGTGAATTATCTCCCTTTGACCGCCCACGATCTACTGATACTGCGCGAGGAGCGCGCCACTGTTTCAGCTCCCGGTCGTTCCCCTTAACTGGCGTTACGGGAGGGGTTCCACCCACTGCATCTTCACACTTACCGTTACATATCTTATTTTAGTATCGGGGACCTTAAGCTTAAACAAAAGTTGTTGTTTTTCTTACAACGTTTGAAAGGCACGGAGAAATAAGGCTTGACGTTTTGTACTGGTTTAAACTGCCGGCAAAAAAAGTATATACACCCGTCTTTGAGGGTGGCTAACATGAAAAAAACAAGAAGTGGTTATTCCATGACGGTGTATTTGATACGAGTATCATGCAGGCGATATTACATGCATGTTATCAGTGAGTATCTCACAACGGGTGACGTGCATATGACGTCACAAGGAACAATTGACGTCACTGCGCAATTTCGCAGTGCACAGTAATCAGCCGAGTGGAATGTGAATATGCAAATGTAAACTTCCTCTAACCCGTCAATGTATTGCCTCATGTGCCATGAATTTAAATGTTCTGACCGTGTGTATACATCGATACTATTTAAGCGTTAACCATATCTTTTGTCTAACTGTTCCAAAGGCGTTTGCCGCTCTACCACTACATCATAAGCAAAGTTAATCACATTGTGCTTTATCTGAATAAGCTTGTGTATTGAGAACAAAACCCCGGTTTTTATTCCGTTCTTCGCTCCCGTGAACATGGTTTTCTACATAACTCTGTGTGTGTGTGTGTGTGTGTGTGTGTGTGTGTGTGTGTGTGTGTGTGTGTGTGTGTGTGTGTCGGTTTTATAGCGCGAGCCCACTGAGATACCATTATGCAGATTCACATGAATGCCCTAATCAGACACAGTTTGACTCCAAGCCAACCAGTCCATGTTATATTCCCCCAATGCCGAGCCCGAGGCTGGGTAACAATAAGTACGTTTCTTTTGTTTTGACGCGGCCGGGGATCGAACCACCGACCTTCCGCTCTCCGGGCAGAGGCTCTAACCACTGGACCACAGAGGCGGTACGACACTACACGACGTTATAACAATTCACTTGAGGAATATATGGTTTGACAAAAACAAATTACAGCCAGCAATGGTAGCATTGTTTCCTAACCACGTCATCGCCTTTTTACACATTATAAAACAGGCATGAGGTTCCTGCAACAGCTGTCGTATATACACGCGCGGAATAGCTATTGATGCCCGTGTGACATATTGCTTTGTGAATAAACGTTACAAACAGACAGGTGAACATGTCTTAACATGCCGCCATAAGCCTTGTTAAATACACGTGTAAAAGATCTTTTTTTGACAAATACAAAGACGAAAAAAATGATTCTATTGAACAATCGCGAAAAAGGTTTACATACAAGCTTGCTAAATTCCTTGGTGTGACAGTGAAAAAGGTACAGGCACCTTGTACCAGGTGTTTGAACGGGGATGGAGGACTGAGGGAGGGCTTGTGGATTGAGGGAGGGGTGGTGGATTGAGGAAGGGGTGATGGTGCGGTGGTAGATTGAGGGGTGTAGATTGAGGGATGGATGGTGAATTGAGGGAGAAGTGATGGGGTGGATTGAGGGAGGGGTGTTGGATTGAGGGTATGGTGTTTGATTGAGGGAGGGGTGTTGGATTGAGGGAGGGATAGAGGATTGGGGGGTGGGGGGGGTAGGGTGGATTGAGGGAGGGATAGAGGATTGAGGGGGGTAGGTTTGATTGAGGGTAGCGGGGTGGTGGTGGTGGATTAACGGAGGGGTGTTGGATTGAGGGTAAGGTGTGTTGGATTGAGGGAGGGATAGAGGATTGAGTGGGGGGAGGGGGGAGGGGGGGATTAAGGTAGCGGGATGGTGGATTAACGGAGGGGTGGTGGATTATGGGACGGGTCAGAGTTGCGTTGTGACTGCAAATTTAACAGTCACTTTGCCAATATATTATAGAGTGTGCGCATGTCCGTCACCCTCCAACCCGTCTCCCACCCACCACCCCCACCCCCTCGCCCACTCTACCCCGTCTTTGTCTGTCGGAGTAAATGAGATACACTAAATGGTTCACACTAAATTGTATACACTAAATCACAGTCGATATAAACTTTAATTGAAATCAGCAACATCCCACTTCCCTGTCCGTGTTAAATATAGAACACGTCAATCTTTTTATTCTTTTTTTTTTAAGTCTAAAAAAAATGTATTACGTGTGAAGATGTCAGCAACACTATGCCTGTACATCAGTCACAGGGGATTTTTGTGGCTTGTCCTTGGAATATTCAAATTTACGTCTCATTTGAGGTAAGTACTATAAATAGTGTATGCATCATCAGTGTCGGTGTCCAACACACGACCTAGCCAGGGCAGGGGAGACTGGGGGCCATTGTTGATGATACCCGTAAATTTGAGGAAATGTATTATTTGTTTGTCAAAAATATTTTATTTAATATTGGTAGAGAATGTGCACTCATTGTTGAAGATGTAGCTAGCACTCAATTTCACTAGCATGCAACAAGAACGGTTATGTGCTTATTTGTGCTTGAGGGTACGTTAATTGAAGAGATTAGTGAATATATTTACTTTTTTGCATGAATTATTTTATTAAAATGAATGCTTCATTTGGGGATTTGGGGAAAAAAATAGCTAAATTCGTGCAATCGTACATTGTAATTTTTTACACGATGGAGAAACAATATAACAAGCTCAGTTAGAATATATACTCGGATTATTCATCACATGAGAAAAACTCATTATCAAGTAAGAAGAATCTTCTCCTCACAAATCACAGCAATAACGTGAAATCGTCACCATTAGATGAGTATTTAATTTCACTGCGCGGCAAGATGCACGTGTTTTCAGAGCTGGGAGACTACAAATATTGCAATGTGAGTTTATGCATTCAAGAATTATGTTTCAATAGAATCTTTATAATTTTGTTAATTGCACAAGGCATTGTTGATACCTGGACGTGGTAATTTTGCATCGTCAGTCAAAAACTCGCTCTGGACATCTAGAACACACACACATACAAAATAACATTATTCACACATACCTTGCCTTGATTTCTGTAGACGTCCGAGCTATCCAGCAGTTGTACAAAGACTAAATGCATGTGGCTCGCGACTTGGAAACTTTAATATCACAACATGACTGAACATGAAACAGGGGAGGTAATTCAGTGGCTGAATTTTTCGCGGGAAATCGCAAAACGCCCCGCCCACCTGAAATATTATTTTACAATTTAAGTTGGGATAACTTCATTTTCATGTTTCACAAAGCGTCTGTCTTTGCAAATATCGTTTGAGCGGTTCGACATTATGTTAATTGTATTATCTTAGCGCTCTGATCATCCGTAATCATAGATAACTGTTTGACTCGTGCCTCAAGCGTGCGACCGATTCACTGTCGTTGACCTGACGCCATGTCTATAAATAGATGGGGTTTTCCCAGACCGAAACACGTGGAAGAGTATATGTATAAAAATAGCAGCGAGGAGAAGTGTCTGTCATCTGGCGTTCGCAGGTATATACATCTTTACGTGCTACACTCCATATCTCGTCATATTGTCACTCGATTAATGTGATTCCGTAGCGGGACAAGGTGGCTAAAATTTCGTTTTATATGACTTTCCTAACTTTGTTTTGAAGATAGAAGTTAGCAGAATCAAATAAGTTTTTTTCACAAATAATATGCAAGAACTTTACATATCATATAAGGAAATAATATGACTGTATATAAAGTATAAATGCATAACATTATAATGAACGCTGTTAGGGCTAGCGTCCGGGTACATACTATGCCTTCAATGCAGGTTGGTTGTATAAGGGGGATTTGAGTTAGAAAGAGAATATTGTTTCTGTCGCTGCTTCACGATAGAACCTTGTTTTTTTTCTGAGAGAAGGGGGAAGCCGAAGGTTTTTGCCACACCTGTCTAGCAAACAAGTATCTTGTGTATAGAACCTAAGGCAAAAAAAATAATTCCAATCTTTCTTGGATACAAATTATTTTTTCACTAAAATTCGAACCCCATCCACACCGCAAAATATCATTTAATTGGTCCCTTGACATCAATCCTCTAGTTTCACCACAAGAGGTGAGATGAGGTGAAATGACGTCGCGTTGAAGATAATTGCATGCACACGTGTGTGGGTGTATATTTGTGTGTGCGTGTGGCTGCTTGTACTGGTCCGGACTAATGTCGGTTTAAAAATACTAGCCCACTTAGATATCATGCCGCAGTTTAACATGAATAGTGAGTGAGTATGGTTTTGCGCCGATTTTAATTTATTTCCAGAAATTGGCTTCACACATTGTACCTAGAAAACATGCGATTACATACAGAGTCCACTAAGACAGCTGGGACAGTGCCGAATGCTGCGTTAAACATCACGGTTGGTATCTGTGGAAAGCATTGTATTCTAATCACGCACAGAGAACAAATAAAACTGTATTCAAAAAAATAGTTTAATCAAAATGTATAACCATATCAAAAATAATCACGGACCCACAACATGACATATACATACAATAGACACGCGCCGCATGGCTATCACAAGTCATGTCTACGTGACAATGGCAATAGACAACCAAGGTATGTAGATTGTACCTGCTCCCTGTTGATATTCACAACATGTCAGTTTCACCAATTTGTATTTAAACATTGATTTAGTGCATAGGTGTCTCCTCTGTCACTCCCACCCCTATCCAACCTCTCACCCGTCCCACCCCACCCTATCCCTCTCCCGACCCAACCCATCCCTCTCCCGAGCCACCCCGCCCCACCCTATCCATCTCCCGACCCACCCCACCCAAACCTATCCTTCTCCCGATCCAACCCCAACCTTTCCCTCTCCAGACCCCCCCTATCTCTCTCTCCCGACCCCCCCCCCCCCCCTCACACACACACCCTATCCCTCTCCCGACCCACCCTATCCCTCACCTGACCCAACCAAACCAACCTCTCTCCCGCCCCACCCTACCCATCCCCCCCCCCCACACACACACACACACACAACCCTATCCCTCTCCCGACCCACCCTATCTCTCCCCCGACCCTCCCACCCTATCCCTCTCCCGACCTTCCCCCACACACACACACCCTATCCCTCTCCCGACCCACCCTATCCCTCTCCCGACCAACCCCACCAAATCTCTCTCCCGACCCACCCTATCCCTCTCCCGAGCCACCCTGTCCCAACCTATCCCTCTGCCGCCCCACCCTATCTCTCTCCCGACCCACCCCACCCTATCTCTCTCCCGACCCTAACACCCCCACCCTATCCCTATCCCACCTCGCCCCGCCCCGCCCCGCCCCACAGTGGTGCACTGTGTCAACAACATATCTCACTCTATGCATATGGTTTTTTTTATCATGTCGTCTATTTCAATGATAAAAGGTAAGTTGATATTTGACATCGTGCGTAGCTGCATCCGCCCAATAAATGTTCATAAATATACCACAAACGGAGATCACTTTCGCCAACAGCCAACGCTCTTAGCATGACTCCCGCCAAGGGGAGGTCACATAATGAATAAATACATCAACAAACATAATCTCTATTTCAACAATTATTGTGTAAATGTTCCACCAATAGTGTCCTCATAAGCGACAACATCAACGCAATGAATTAAACAAACTAGGGAGCTCGTTGTATATAACTACTGAATGACGTCAGCAAGTGGAACAAGGGGCACTATTAAACATCGATGGAAACAAAATACCGTATATGATTTAACTGATGCACAGACAGTAACCGGAGTTATGTCCCGGTGAGATATTACACATCATATGTAGAATAATCGCAACGTCAGAACTGAGTGAGTGAGTTGTGTTTAACGCCGCTTTGAACAGCATTCCACGTAAAAAAGTATGTTATCAGCAACCGGAGCTAGTGGCACTCGAGAATCTGATAACTCATGTTATCACTCCAACCTGACACACATATCATATACACTACCGGGCAGAAGAAAGTATACACCTGAAAATTGGAATTGACCTAAAACTACAAACATTATTAAATCTTTACCAAATTGAAAACAGTCGCCGAAACACTGCAAACTTAAGGCCCGAAACACAACAAAGATACCTGGAATAAATACTCTGCATCGCCATCGAACAGCCATCTTTTGTTTGTTTCACTTTCAGACACCGTCAAACATGGGTGTTACTTAATTTTGCCCGGCAGTTTATATGCTTGAACACAGTGGGGTATCTTCAGTAATTGGACGTATGCAAAGGTTATTTTTCTCGGGGGAATAAGCTGTGTGTGGACCGCAGTACGCCTTAATTCTACAAAATGCATATATTCTTATGGTACACCGTGAAGCTATTTACACGACCGGCATGTTCGTCATCCTTGTTTCCAAACTGAGCAATCTTCTGTTACTGATTGTGCTATCAGTTCTGGCACAGGGCCTGGACTTCAGAAATCACTTTCCTGCAATGTATACGACAAGTGGTCAATTGCGCTGTGTCGGTAAGTACCTTGAGAGGTCAATATTTGCAGGAATCAACTGGTCCACTGAAATATTGTCCAGGGAGGGAATACCAATTTCCCCTAAAGGCCTATCTTCCGCTTCTGGTTTCATGACGTCATTAGTATGGGATGTTGCGTAAAAGGTGTTATTGTCGTGGGGAATATCTGGAGTGATTCTGTTAACATCATCACCGACATTAAGCCAAGCATCATTCCGCAAGATCCTTCCATTCATGGCTCTGTCTGCGTGGTGTCTGTTTGAGATCTGGACACCGTGGTCTGTTTGGCAGCTGGGACGAGTGTCACATCCTTCAGTCTTCACTCCCGGGAATGGAGGCACGTCCATGTTTGCTTGGGTTCCTTGAAAGAAGGATTCCAGGTTCCTGGACGTGGTCATCCACTGGTTGTCCATCATGTGGGGCACCTGGTGGTCAGGGCAGGGACTACCACCGCTGACGTCACTTACTGGGCTGTAGGCGTCACCAGGAACCTGGACCGTGGGGTACTGGCGAGGGAGTCCTGGACACCAGGTGTCGTCATGGTGGTCAGAGACATTACCAGGTGGACAGTGGTCAGTGTGATGGTCAGTGTGAGGGTGGATGCCTGGCCGAGGGGCACACGGCTGGCCTTGAGGATACCGGAGGCACTGACCAGACATCCTGTGTTCTCGCTCAATTCTCTTGAGATTCTCGACCTCCTGCCTGAGTAGCTCTACCTCTGCCTGAAGATCGGAGTTGGTTTTCCTCAAATCACCTAGTTCCTGAAACAAATGTAGCAAACGTGAATACAAGCTTGACATGCAAACTTACACCAGCCACGTCATAAAGCTATCGCTGTGTACTTTACGCCTCACAGAGATCAGTTGTCTTCATTTGCTGAGAAGGCTATTCGGTGTGTATTTAGTCCCAGAAATAAAGTTATCTCATTTTAAAAATAAATAACTACAAAAATGAAAAAATCCAAATAGAGCCCCAAACTGATAGGAGACATTCTAGACTTGCCAAATCATTCTAGACTTGAGTTAGATATTTTTAAATTATCAGTGTGTGGGGTCACCAACCGCATTCGTGCCATGAAGATCCGGGTTAGAACATATCTTCAGCAGCCTAATTTTACCGTAAAAGGCGACTCTGCTTGTCGTAAGAGGCGACTATCGGGATCGGGTGGTCAGGCTCACTGACTTGGTTTGATGCATGCCATCGTATCCCAATCGCGTGGATCGATGCTCATGATGTCCATCACTGGATTGTCTGGTCCAGACTCAATTATTTACAGACCGCCGTCATATAACTGGAATATTGCTTGCGGCGTTAAACAACAAACAAACAAACAAACAAACAAACCTCATTCGTCCCACATTGACTTCGTTTCTTTTTAAGGCGACATCTGTGTGCAGCCTCCCTGTTCTGTTTCCTCCTCCGGGCCTTCTTCTCCTTCTCTTCCTCCGTCAGCTGAGGAAGATCGAATTGAAATGAATACGCTTAAAGACAATTATAACTCACACTGTGCCGAGTTATCGCTACCAGAACATTGCTACCAGTAGACTTTCCAACCGTACAGGTCCAGAAAGGTATGTATGAAAAACCACATCTTTGAAGTTATTGGAACATATTGTAACATTTAATGTACCTTCTATTTAATAAGGGGCGGTCGGGTAGCCCAGTGGTTAAAGCGTTCGCTCGTCACGCCGAAGACCCGGGTTCGATTCCCGACATGGGTACAATGTGTGAAGCCCATTTCTGGTGTCCGCCGCCGTGATATTGCTGGAATATTGCTAAAAGCGGCGTAAAACCATACTCAGTCAGTCAGTCTATTTAATTAAGTCAAACTGCAATACAGAAATTGTTTAACACCCAACAACACTGATATTAACAATATCGACATGCATTGGTAAGGCACCTCAGGCTGGAACTAATTTCTGTCATGTTTGACACCTGTCACTCATGGTCACGTACCCACTGCAAATGTAGACTGCGCATGTCTAAATCTGAAGCAGTTTGATTGACAGTTTACCTCATGTTTCACGGGCGTGTTGAATTCTACTTTGATCTCCTCCGCCCCGCGGGCAATCCTGTCGTTGATGACCTTGCGCCGGACCGCACTGATCACGTGAGAGGACCGGGGCACACGCTGTTGGTTCTCCATCAGAGGTGACCCCGCCTCGAAGCTGGGCCCGTCCATATTGCTGAGGGGAGGTGGGGCTGAATAAGGCGACAACGCCTCCGGGCTCGGCCCGCCCATGTTGCTCACGGGGGATGGGGTTGAATGGGTAGACCGCAAACTTGAGTGACAAGGGCCCAGGTCGGGTTTTCTCATCACGCTGTCTGATTTGCCCTCTCGCGACATGATGCTTCATCCCTGAAAAAAACAAAACATTAAAACATAAAAAATAAAACGAAATGTATCATACGATACACTTTATAATATTTTGTAAGGTATTAAACGATTCAGTCAATGATAATATGTAATGAATTTAAGATTGAGGCAATAATATATTGTAATGTTTCCAGCAAATAGTAAAATATAACATATTATACCATTCAGTTTTTAATATAATGTAATTATCAAACTATTCAGTCAATAATAAAATATAACGTGTTATACGATTCAGTCAATAATAAAATGTTACATTTGATAAAATTCAGTTAATAATAAAATGTACCATATTATAGGCTACGATTCAGTAAATAATAAAAGTTGATAAAATGTTATGTATAATAAGATTCAGTCGATAATAAACTGTAATGTATAATAAGATACCGTCAGTAATAAACTGTAATGTATAATAACATACAGTCAGTAATAAACTGTAATGTATAATAAGATACCGTCACTAATAAACTGTTATGTATAATAAGATACCGTCACTAATAAACTGTAATGTATAATAAGATACAGTCAGTAATAGAAAGTAATGTATAATAAGATACCGTCAGTATTAAACTGAAATGTATAATAAGATACCGTCAGTAATAAACTGTAATGTATAATAAGATACCGTCACTAATAAACTGTAATGTATAATAAGATACCGTCACTAATAAACTGTAATGTATAATACGATACCGTCAGTAATAAACTGTAATGTATAATAACATACAGTCAGTAATAGAAAGTAATGTATAATAAGATACCGTCAGTAATAAACTGTAATGTATAATAAGATACCGTCAGTAATAAACTGTAATGTATAATAAGATACCGTCAGTAATAAACTGTAATGTATAATAAGATACAGTCACTAATAAACTGTAATGTATAATAAGATACCGTCACTAATAAACTGTAATGTATAATAAGATACAGTCAGTAATAGAAAGTAATGTATAATAACATACAGTCAGTAATATAAAGTAATGCATAATAAGACACAGTCACTAACATTCTAATAAACTCGACAGTATGTAGAAAGAATATAGTTATTTTGGGGGGGATTAAACCTCCCCATTACCTTCATTAAATATCAGGGTTATTCAATCTCCTTGTGTTCTTCAAAACAAAACTCACTATTTCCAATTTGTCTGAAGAAATTCCTTATATTTTGGTAACCGTGATTCTAAAATGTATACAAAAAAAAGGACTGGAAATCTATTTGAAAATATTCACGATGTCCAACTGGCGCAATGTGTGGTTTCGGTTCTTGTGTACCTGCTGGGCGAAAGGTCCAACGTTCATTTCGACACATTACGAAACCTTCCACGAAAAAGGACTAATGTTTCAGATTTCGTTAACGAAAATGTTTACAAATATTTGTCAATGGATTTCTAAAGAACAGAATCAACTTGTAAAATCAAATTAAGTTAATTATTTAATCATTTAAATATCAATTAAAATTATCCACAACAAGTTAGCTTAAATATTAACTCTGTCAGCCGCGAGGTTAATAAACAAACTGGATGTGTGCATGGGTTATAATAACACGGGAGAACAACAAACAATGCGCTGAAAAATAAATTCACCAAACAACATCACACGGCTTTTCTTGGCATCTCGAACTTAAATATATCGTACTCACCTTTATATAGGATATTCCTAATATTCAATGATTAATCAAGGTGATTCCTACTAATATGAATATTGAAAAACAATAATTTCCCTTATCCCTCTGAATGTCGTGCGGCATATCCTACCTAATAATTCTATGTATACTACCACTGCTAATCCACGTTATTGTGTTAAAAAACCCTAAAACAGTCCCCTCATCTCTCTGTTCTTTTAACATTAAACCTTTCCCTTACTTTCATTGATTTTTTATAAAGAAAATTATTAGGAGTAAGAACACATGAGGCGAGTGTTACCAATGTTATAAGAAATATAAATCTAATATCATAATCATTTCACCATCGGCATGTCAAGCACAAACTAAATGTACCTCGGTTATAGTGGTCAAATGTTAATATTTGCTAGTCGTACACGCATATTCTGATTTTACACATACTATATTATCAGTTGTATTAATCCAAATATTCAGTTAAAACACAACGTCGTGTACCACCGGAGACGCCATATAGACTGGTATAGTTAATACCAAACTGAATTACGACTTTGGAATCCCTACAACGCAATTAAGGCAGCCCCCGTCTATTTGGCGGGTCTGATGCAATCAGTTTCACGGAGAGATAGCCTTTTATGGTCTATCACTGACGCGGGATCAATAATGAGAAATCGATCTCCGCGTTATGGAATACTCCTCAGGAATGCACGTTACAGTGAAATCGATAAATGTTGCGAGAGTAATTACGAATCTTTTACTGTAGCCCGTGACGCAAGTGGGTAGGCGACGTGATTCGTGCTGCTCGGTCGAGCGTGTCTCGTGCAAACTGCCATCGTCGACATTCGGGAACATTCGCGGTTGCTCGTGGTGGTGTAATCGTTCACGCCGCGTGATCTGAATGACGGACGGGTATTGTGATCGCCACATGACTTCCGGGTGTTGCGAATACACTACGTGTATTTAAATATACCCGCACCATAGATATGAAGATAAATAAACACGGAACATGTCCTGCTGAACCGCGACTACTTGGAAAGCGTGGAGAGCTTCGGGTGGCAGTTCTGGGAACTCACGCGGCGCCGGTGTTAAGAAACTTCACCTTTAAGTTTGTGTGTAGGCCTTTTGTTCTATACATGTTCGGAGTTAGTGAATCACTGTCACTTGACGTCCACCGACTCCATGAGTGTACCGTTAGTGGGCGACGGCGATAACATAACCTCGTTACGTCTGAAAAATTTCGCTTTGTATCATCGATATACCGCGAACGTCCTTCTCTGATTGTCAGGTGGTGGTAGAACAAGTAGTAGTAGTAGTAGTAGTTATGCCATGTTATTACTTATTTCCAATAGACGTATAATAATAATAATAATCATCATCATCATCAATCATCATCATCATAATCATAAGATATATGGTATTATGATTGTGATTATATAACAACAGCAGAAGTAATTGTAATCATAATGCTAGCGGTCGTCGCTAGACCAGATAACTGTCGTTGTTGAAGGAGTTAGGGTCTCTGCTGCGGTACAATACGGAGGCAAGAAGATGAAGCAGCTTCAGGTAGCGGCGGGAGATGTGGATGAGGAAACTGCTTCACTCATCTCGTGCACACATCTTGTACATATAAAACCACATTCTTGTGTCTATTGTAGTTTCAAATCATTCCGTTACGATAACACTGCTTCCTGAACCACTGCACTCCCATCAGTTCCGGCTTCTAGGCACGTGCCGTGACACACAAGCAGCCTGGCTACCATGGAGGGGGCCGTGTGTGGATGAGAGGCTTGTCCTCACAGATGATACACTGCACGCATCATACCATACGAAGATACAGGGAATTATATCATACCAAGATACAGGGCATTAAACCATACCGAGATTCAGGGAATTATACCCTACCAACTTACAGGGCATTATACCATACCAAGATACAGGGCATTAAACCATACCGAGATTCAGGGAATTATACCCTACCAACTTACAGGGCATTATACCATACCAAGATACAGGGCATTATACCATACCAAAGACACAGGGCATTATACCATACCAAAGATACAGGGCATTATACCATACCAAAGACACAGGGCATTATACCATACCAAAGATACATGGCATTAATACGATACCAAAGACACAGGGCATTATACCATACCAAAGATACAGAACGTTATACCATACCAAAGATACATGGCATTAATACGATACCAAGATACAGGACAGTATATCATACCAAAGATACAGAACGTTATACCATACCAAAGATACATGGCATTAATACGATACCAAGATACAGGACAGTATATCATACCAAGCACACAGGTCATTATGAATTAAATAATTTCGTTTCCGAAAACACGTATACACATTAACTCACGAATATATTTTTGATACAGAATCCGACATATTTTATGTAACGGTAACACATGCCTTTTTTCATATACAGACTGTTGTTTAAAAAACACACGTCGGCACCTCAATTCTTTCACTGACTCCAGGCAGAACGTGTAATTACGCAACCACTTTCAGCATTTCGATAACAGACTTGGCATGTTTGTGACGCCCAGACCAAAATATGTGTATGATGATTATTATTATAACTGTGCTTGATGTGCTCAATAAAGCACCGTGTCATGCACAACACAACACTACGCTGCGGCTACAGCATATTCTGACTTACACATACCATATTATCAGTTGTATTAATCCAAATATTCAGTTATATAGACAGAACGTTTGGACGTTTCTGACCGCGAGATCAGGTTACTGTAACATGATTTGGGAATAACGTCACTTGACCTGTTTAGGACAGTCGCTTATATTCGTTCAAAAGAAGACTTGTAGAGCGTTTAAGAACTTTCGATATTGTTTTCGCCACATTTAATTTGTTCAGATTTTCTAAAAGCAATTCAACAGCCATTAATGACTAATGACACTAATAGAAAACATCAAGACTTTACAAGTTATCGGCATGACCGACAGACACGAGTAACGGCATCTAGGCGTTCTGTCATTGTCACAAATCAATATAAAGCATGGTTAGAATAGGTCAGTGCTAAAGTATATACATATATCTTTAGAAATACAAATATGCCGCCCATCGGGGAATAATGGGGAGAGAGTAAATGTGCTTCTTACCATAATTTAAGGAACAGGGGGAAAACAGAATCCAGTACGAATATCACAACCGTCTCACTCTCGTAGTTCACTCTGTGGGACTCACGCCGCTACTGAAAGGCGACGTGAGTCGACTGCAGTTATAATTAAATACCCATGACTGTTCACCGTGCAGGCTGAATCAGGGGAGGTAACTCTGTCGTGTTTGTCAGTGGCATATGATTACAACAAATAGATATATATGTCATGTTTGAATTTTTTTAAACAACAAAATTATTTTTTCAGTTTGACCTGATTTTTTTTATTGAACGGGGTCATTCGTTATTCGAAACAACATAATATTTGCTTTGTGTTTAATCCATGGACTGAAATTGTGTATACGCACACATTTATTTCACAAATTAATACATTTGGTTCAGAAATTATACATTAACTGCTTCTTGGTATATACTGAGTATAATACATCTTCCATGTGGTCAAATAGATAACAACAGTAAAAATGGCACCTTCACCACCCACACGATTAGTGGTGTTGTGTTTGTTTGTCTGTTCAATGTGTATGTCTGTTACTCTATACGTTCTCTGCTTGGCTTCACTTTGTACGACTGTCGGAATATGTATCTACTGGTGGAAATGTGTGGCAGGTTGTATTTCGTCAGATCTATATACGGGTCACAAAAACCGACGTGATGTATACGTCAGTCGTATCTTCCGTCGTACATATTTTGTCTGTGTTGTTCCTAGCCGTTGTAATAATTGAATGTTGTTCCTAGCCGTTGTAATAATTGTATGTTGTTCCTAGCCGTTGTAATAATTGTATGTTGTTCCTAGCCGTTGTAATAATTGTATGTTGTTTCTAGCCGTTGTAATAATTGTCTGTTGTATCTAGCCGTTGTAATAATTGAACGTTGTTCCTAGCCGTTGTAATAACTGTATGTTGTTCCTAGCCGTTGTAATAATTGTCTGTTGTATCTAGCCGTTGTAATAATTGTACGTTGTTCCTAGCCGTTGTAATAACTGTATGTTGTTCCTAGCCGTTGTATTAATTGTCTGTTGTATCTAGCCGTTGTAATAATTTACGTTGTTCCTAGCCGTTGTAATAACCGTATGTTGTTCCTAGCCGTTGTAATAATTGTCTGTTGTTTCTAGCCGTTGTAATAATTGTCTGTTGTATCTAGCCGTTGTTATAATTGTCTGTTGTATCTAGCCGTTGTAATAATTTACGTTGTTCCTAGCCGTTGTAATAACTGTATGTTGTTCCTGGCCGTTGTAATAATTGTCTGTTGTTTCTAGCTGTTGTAATAATTGTCTGTTGTATCTAGCCGTTGTAATAATTGTACGTTGGTCCTATCCGTTGTAATAACTGTATGTTGTTCCTAGCCGTTGTATTAATTGTCTGTTGTATCTTGCCGTTGTAATAATTGTCTGTTGTATCTAGCCGTTGTAATAATTGTATGTTGTATCTAGCCGTTGTAATAAATGTATGTTTTTCCTAGCCGTTGTAATAATTGTATGTTGTTTCTAGCCGTTGTAATAATTGTATGTTGTTCCTAGCCGTTGTAATAATTGTCTGTTGTATCTAGCCGTTGTAAAAATTGTACGTTGTTCCCAGCCGTTGTAATAACTGTATGTTGTTCCTAGCCGTTGTATTAATTGTCTGTTGTATCTAGCCGTTGTAATAATTGTCTGTTGTATCTAGCCGTTGTAATAATTGTATGTTGTATCTAGCCGTTGTAATAATTGTATGTTGTTCCTAGCCGTTGTAATAATTGTATGTTGTTCCTAGCCGTTGTAATAATTGTATGTTGTATCTAGCCGTTGTAGATAAATGTCTTATTTCTAGCAGTTGTACAGAACTTTCTATCTTGTTTTTAGCAGTTGTACACAATTGTCTGTGCTGCATCTAGCAGTTGTACACAGTTGTCTATGTTGTTCTAGCCGCTGTACATTACATGGCTGGGTTGTATCTAACTAGCTGAAGTATTCCTCTATTTAATATTATTTCTTACAGTTCGTTTCCTTAGTGTTATGGGTTGTATCTAACTAGCTGCAGTATTCCTCTATTTAATATCATTTCTTACAGTTCGTTTCCTTAGTTTTATTGTGGTAAATACAATTATTTATTGTGCTAAATAAATTAGTTGTATGGTAAATAATTTTATTGTACTTCCTTAACCACGTGGCTATCTTTGTATTTTTGTTATTTTATCTGCTTAGTGTTTTAACAATAAATGTTAGTACCTGTCAATGTATGTTTAGTAATCTCTTTTTATCGCCTAACGTCAAACGTCATCCCGTGCGTGTATCTTTTACTGTTAGACAAACATTTAAGTGAGCATCCACATAGAGAGCGAGGGGGGTGGGGGGTGGGGGGGTGGGGGTGGGGGGTGGGGGTGGGGGGGAGAGTACGGGGGAGAGAGAGAGAGAGACAGCGGAAGAGACACAGAGAGAGGGGAGAGAGTGAGAGGGCGGAAGAGACAGAGAGAGAGAGAGAGCGGAAGAGACACAGAGAGAGGGGATTGAGAGAGATAGAGAGGGTGTAGGTAAGAGAGAGGGAGGGGAGAGAGAGAGCGGAAGAGACACAGAGAGAGGAGATTGAGAGAGATAGAGATGGTGTAGGTAAGAGAGAGAGAGGGGAGAGAGAGAGAAAGCGGAAGAGACACACAGAGAGAGAGAGCGGAAGAGACACAGAGAGAGGGGATTGAGAGAGATAGAGAGGGTGTAGGTAAGAGAGAGGGAGGGGAGAGAGAGAGCGGAAGAGACACAGAGAGAGGAGATTGAGAGAGATAGAGATGGTGTAGGTAAGAGGAGAGAGGGGAGAGAGAGAGAGCGGAAGAGACACAGA